GTCGCTTCCTGCCCCCCCCCCCCCCCACCCCGAAAAAAATGCGGCCACCCGGAAGCCTCACGCAGGCAGTCCTGTAAAAGAGCTGCCTCCTCGTGCTTCTTCAGAGCGCTCAGGGAGAGAGCGCAAGAGCTTGCGACGGCGAGGGTGTCAATGTGCATCTCCCCCTTCCTGCGCTCGTAGACCCGGTGAAGGTACGTGAACAGCCTCAAGCACCGCACCCCCCCCCCTGGCACCCCCGCCGCCCCGCCGCCCCGCGCCCGTCGCGAGGAAAAAACGCCTCGGAACTGGGGCCTTCCATGGCAGCCACGGGGCTTCAGCGCCTCCGCGTGTTGGCCTAGGCCGTGTTTCTCAACCCAGCCGTGGTTTGGCGCCAATTGCAAGGATCCGCCCAGGGCGTAGGGCCCAGAAAGGCCTATCTGGGCCCAAGAATTTCCATTAAAAAAACATTTGGTGGACCTCAAAACTCCTCCAGGATTCATGTCCAACTTCCTGCCCCACTTGCTCACCACACACACACACACACACACACCCGACCTTCCTGTCGCGCGCCTTCGGCCGCCAGGGCCTGCGCCAGCTGGTAGGTGGCCTCTAGCTGCTGCGGCCCCTCCTCCTGTCCACCAAGGCACGTACCCCTTTTACGTATTTCTTAAACAAATGAACCCCTGAGAGGCCTGATGTTCATACCATATCCTCTCCCCAAGAGGGTTTTTACTAGCCCCTCATATGAAGTGGGTTGGAAAAACAAAAAACAAAAAGTTACAGGGGAATCACCAGATCCTGCTGCTTGTCCAGGCGCCGGAACCGGTGCCGCGCGCAGAGCAGCGCCGCCGGGCCCACGAAGTGCCTGTCGCACCGAGCGAAACGCGGACACCTGGCGCCAGGCAAACGCGACACCTGGCTGTGGTCAAAAATAGTTGGAAACCCCAAAATGGCTCAAGCCCGGGCAAATGGAACCAAGGACTAAAACCGGTTTGTCTCGTGGTTTAATTTTGACCCATACCCACATGGCCATGGCTCAAAATCCAAATCGTAGCCCCAGTGAACATCCTAATGTCGACTAGACCACAATGGGTGGTGAATTCACCTACCCCAAAATGGGATCCCATTGGTTTTGGCGCACAGCCACATGGGAAGCCATAGGATGGAGAAAAGAGGAGAGAGGGGTCGTTCCAACTCATTCCCTGAGCACCGGCAAGAGGAGAGCTTATCCTCCGGGCGGCTGATGGCAAACGTCGCAGGTCCTGTAGTCATCCAGCCGCTCGCACCACTGGAGAAGGCAGTCCGCGTGAACATGCGCCGAAGAGCCGCGGCAGGCGCAGGGTGACAGCAACTGCCGCTCTTCACCGCCAGGATCCAAGCACAAGCGACAGGCCATTGCGCCATCCAAGCATCTCACATCTGGGTTTGTCGCTCAAGTTTGGAAGGTCCGTCGAAGGTCCGTCAAAAGGTGGCTTCGCTTTGGCACAAACTTTTCACCAACCCGGCCCACCAAAAAAGACATGTATGATTGGTTCTTTCGTCGGCTACGTGGAGTGAGCCAAGCTAATGCTCATCGTGGCTCTGCCAAAAAATGCGGATCGGAATTGAGGCCAAACGCTGCGCAAGTCAATCGCTTTGAACTGGCACAACTGCTGGGCTCGAGGCAGGCTTCACCGCAAGCCTCGGCTTCCAAAGGGCGCAAAGGCCATTCGCTGAGGGTGTACGCGCTTTGGAGTGGTTTGGAAGAGCCACCAGCAGGAAGCCACCCATTTTTTTCGGCATCCGTTTCCGGAAACCCTCCGGGGGTCCGGGCTCCTCCTCAGAGTATTCCTTTTGCCTCTCCATCTGGAGCTGCTGCATGTCCTTCGCCTCCTGGGAGGGAAGGCCTTTTGCGCATGGGCCTTGATCCTCTTTGCGCTTGCTTCTTGCTAGACCCCAACACCCGGAACCCTTCCGGAACCGTGCCTGGGCAGAGACCCCAAAAGCTTAGGGGATTTTCTTTGACTTGGCTGGCTTTTGCAATCCACCTCCATTGTGCGAGCCTTCGGTGAGAAAAGGAATTTCAGGGGTTGCCACCCCTGCCAATTCTATTCCTACAGCGGATACGCATCCCCAGAAGCGTCCTCTCGCATATACACCAACAGCTCTTCCGCGGTCAGGTTCTCCGGTGGGCCAATACAGTTGTCGGGGTTCCTCAGGTGAACAGCCAGGAAAAAGGACTTTGCCCCCGTTTCGTGTCACGTTGCCGTTCCGATGCTTGGAAGGGAGAGAAAAAATGAGAAGAAAAAACACAGAAACATGCCACCGGACAACTGGAACCGCAAAATATCAAAAGAGGCGTTCTTTTCTGGCCCCGCGCGCGAGCCAGGGCGCTCAGCGTGCGCCATGGTGCACTTGTGCAACTCGGCGATTTCTGCGGAGACGGCATGCATGAGGCCCCAGATGCCGCAAGGAAGGCGACCCGCCATTGGATCTTCAGACTTGCACATCACGAAACCTGCGCTTGGCAATTGCCTTGCTTCGGTCAGAGCTGGAGCCAGCCCGACAGAAAACCATCCCCTATGGCTTCCTTTAAGCGAATTGCCTGGGTGACTCCCTACTGAGCACCAGCAAGTCACTACGAAGTTGGCCAGAAGCTTGCCAGGCCTTTCGGCCTTTGACGGTTGACACAGCCTCCATTTCTTGGACTCTATCCTCCAGGCTCCCTTTTTGAGGACATCAACCCGTGTTTAAGTCTTCCAACACACGGACTCGCCTGTTCTCGCGAGTTCCGGCCAGGGCTGGCCACAGAGGCGCCAGCGATGCTCCAGCTTCTCCCACAGAATTCGCCGGAAGCGCCGGCGCCGCCGGAAGAGCTGCGGCGGAACGTGCGGCTCTGGCCCCGGGCGGCCCTCGTAGCCCGCCTCTTCGACGGACACCTCCACCTCCTCGGTGTGCGCCAGCCAGAACTTCCTCGGAACCAAGGGGCTGAAAACAAGCGCAAACCAAAAAATCGTCAAAACCAGTACTGAGCCTTTTCGAAATTGGCCTATCCTAAACCCTAACCCTTGTTGAGAAACCGCAGCAAAAGATTGTTCATGGCCCCCCAGAGAATCCAACAACCAAAAACTAATCGAAACCTCCGGGAAAAATACCTCTTGCTGGGTGTCTTGTCCGCCAACAACCAGCCCAAGTGACACAAGGACTCGCGGCAGTCGCCGACCTGCCCGGGCAGATGGTCCGGGAAGTAGCCGCAGAGCAGCTTCAGGAAGTCCAGCAGCGCTTTCTTCCGCCGCTGGCGCGGCGCATCGCCTTCGAGCTCCCAGACTTGGCGCTCGAAGATTTCGTGCAGCCACAGCGCCAGCCCGGCGCGCACGTCGTGCTCCGGGAACCGCCGGAAGTCGCCCTCAGCGGTGGAGGTCCGGCCCTCCCAGGTGTGCGCGTTCAGGGGCCACGGCGGCTTCGCCGGCGCCAAGGTTGGAGAGCACCGACCTTGGAGCCACAACCTGCTGGAAGAGTCGACACCTCCCCTGCTCAAGATGGAAAAAGCACGCACGCGCACGCACGCTTGCGCACGCACACACGCACCCACACACACACACACTTTTTACACACACACACACACACCCAAGCACGCACGCACGCACGCACGCACGCACGCACGCACGCACGCACGCACCCACACACACACACACTTTTTACACACACACACACACACACACACCCACGCACGCACACACGCACGCACACACACGCACACACACGCACACACGCACACACGCACACACGCACACACACACAAACACACACACTCACACACACACACACACACACACACACACACACACGCACACACGCACACACACACGCACACACGCACACACGCACACACGCACACACGCACACACGCACGCACACACGCACACACGCACACACGCACACACGCACACACGCACACACGCACACACGCACGCGCACACGCGCACACGCGCACACGCGCACACGCGCACACGCGCACACGCGCACACGCGCACACGCGCACACGCGAGCGCGCGCGCGCGCGCGCGCACGCACGCGCGCACGCACGCGCGCACGCACGCACGCGCGCACGCGCGCACGCACGCACGCACGCACACACGCACACACGCACACACGCGCACACGCGCACATGCGCACACACGCACACGCACACACGCGCACACGCACACGCACACACACGCACACGCACGCACACGCACACGCACACGCACACGCACACGCACACGCACACCCACACACACACACACACATGTCACACATATCACACCTGACACACGTGACACACGTGACACGCGCAACCGCTGACAAGAGCATCGAACTCCAAAACAATCATAGCTGCAAAGAAGATCCAGTTTACAAAATCTTCCTTGCAGGCCATTCAGTGAGTTGTGAGTGGTGTGCACTTGCTGCTGCGGTGCCCAATTCCTGTGGCCGGGCCCGGCGCAGCCAGTCCAAGATCTTTTCGGCGCCTTCACCTGGCGTAAGCCTGGCCACCGCCAGGCCTTCACGCACCAGGGGGTCGTGAGAGAGGAACTCCTGTGGCACAAGTGGCAACCCCCTTCCCCACAGGCCAAGCGCATGGACTATCATGGCGAAACCACTTGACCAAAACCGAGGTCTCCTCCTTGGACCCCAGCACCAGCAGCGGCATGGCAGCGGCCGGCCACGGATCGGACAGCGTGGCCTGGTTGAGGCTAGCCCCGGCCATCCACAAAGGCCTCACTCACAGCCAAGATGTCGCTACAGTGGCCAAGATGGCTATGATTTGGCTGTGGCTCAAAAAAAAGACGGTACCAAAATGGAACCCTGGTAAGGACCAAAGCCTGCATAAACCCTCCTGTTTCATGTTGAGCCACACCCAGTTTTTTCATAGCCCTGGGCATAGAAATGAGTCGTGCATGGCTACCGGGTGTGAGACATGGACAAGAGTCTGGATCAGCCGCATTCCGAGGCACACGGGCTCGCGGGGCTCGCCCAGAAACCGAGCACACATCCCCCTGTTCGATGGCCTGGAAAGGGCAGGCGTCGTGCATCTCGGATTGGAACACGCGCAATCAGTGACTTGAGGAGGGGGTGATAAAATCAATCTTTCGGCATTTCAGCCCCCTACCTTGCTTACGCAAGGAGAAACTTCTAGCTAAAGCTAGCTTTCGTGAAAAGCCACCCATGCCTTGTGCAATCCAAGAGTAGGGTTCCCAGGCCACAGGCGCTCGACGCCAGGGAAGCCGCAAGGCGGTTGAACTCCACCACCGCGCGGCGGCAGTGCAGCCACCAGGGGCCTCAGGCTGAGAGAGGCCGCGAGGCTTCGCGCGAACCGTTCCCGCGAGTCGTCCGGGTCATAGGTGTCCTTTTAGGGGCAATAGATGGCCCTGGTAGATGATTAAACCACCAGGCAAACCAGGAATCGCCATCCATTTTGCCACAAAAACAAACCAAACAAGGACCCTATGGTCCGGATATCCCAACGGGTCAAAGGCCCCCAGAGTCACCCGAGTCACCCGAGCCATCTGCGGCTGAGAAGCTGTAGGCCATCATCAAGTAGAAGTCCGCAGCGGGCAATGCATGGAAGCTGTCACCATGATGATTCAGCGCTCCCGAATAGATCACACTGGGATGCGCCGGGGCCAAGCCACGCAAGTGGTTGAACCAGAAGTCATTCTGCAAAGATAGACCTCGGCTCGAGTTCAAAGGCCTGGCTTGCATGATGTCATGTTCATTTATGGCTCTGGCGCCATGTTTCACGCGTTTCATTCTGGCCCTACATCGATGGCTTCCATCGGCTGAGGAAAGCATGGCCTCCAAAGGAGGCTGTCCATATGGCTGTGGCTCAAATTATGTACCGACAATGGAACCCTGCCAAATGGAACCAAGCACTAAAACCTGCGGTCCCCTGGCTGTTGAATTTTGACCCATACCCATATCGAGATGTGCCGCGCTGATGCAAGCAAGCCTCTCTCTTGGATTAGGTCGGCCCTTGCCACGGACAGAAGCAGCAGCAAGGCAGCCATAGCCCACAACACACATGTTGAGCAAAGCTGGAAAATGATCATGGCCCTTTTTGCTGCTTGGAGATGATGTGAATTCGCAATGCCAGGTTTGCTTTGGGAGTCACGTGTTGCCGACGCAGAGCCGAAAGCGTTCACCTTGTCAACATGAATGATATCAAGTCATACGGTAACAACACGCAAGTCACTTGTAGCACGTTTCAAACTATCCCCGGCTGCCAGGAGGAAAGGATGTGCCGGACTTAGGCATCAATATCAAAGCAAAACATCTAGCCAAGCTGATCAGTCGGAAAAAAAATGGGCCAGCAGGAGTTCTGACTCGGAATGAAGCTCAAGAATGGTGTTGACGTGTCATGCGGCTGTCACGCTGCAAACTCCATGTCAGTCCAGTTTGGGCACCTGTCTGCGATGAGCTGGCAGGTCTAGAAGAAAGTCTCGCAGCTTGGCAGGTGCCTGCCGATTTCAGGCTGCCTCTAGGGGAATAAGTTTCAATTGGAAATCCACCTTGGTGAAAATGACTTACATTAAGTTCTATGTCCTCCAACGATCTTTGAGGGCCTGCGCAAGATTCATAGCCATATGGCGCACGTGCAATCGCCCCCTTCCTCTCACACACGCGCACACACACACACACACACCAGCGCCAATCCCGCCAGCCCCGCTCAATGCACTTCAGCCTCACGTGGCACATTGTCTGGAAGGCACCGCAAATGACCACACCTCGATGGCGCCTCAATGCCGGCCGCGCATCGCCAATGAAATCATCAAGCAATGCCATTGACTAAGCTGCTGGCATGTGGAAACCACAGGGACCTCACGGGTAAAGCGTTGCAAGCTCCAGTCGGAATTTCGGAATGGACATCTTGCAGCCAGGGCACGCAACTAGCATGCCAACTGGCACGCACTGGAGCCCAATGTGTCTTGGACAAACTGATAATTCTCGGTGACAAAGGTCTGCTAGAGCAATCCACCTTTAGTGCAAGCAATGCCCTGCTCTATTGCGAGCAAGCACGCCGCTGCATTGCCACTGCGTGCTGGCATGATCCGAAATGGCGGCACAATGATTCAAGCAAGGCTAACTTACTGATCGGGACCGTTTGCTCACTGACATCGTGCGTGCATAACAACCAAAAATCAGCATGATGGGAAAACACTGCATTACACTCGCTGCACTAGCTTCACGAACACAAGAGCAATTCGGCGGACTGAAAACGTGCGAATGGTCGTCAACATACATTGCTGAGCGAGTGTGCTTGTCATTTGTCTGCTTGAGTTCAGCGGGTGTGCTTATCATTTGGGAGGCGCGGATGCAGTGCTGAGCGGGTGTGCTTGAGCGAGTGCACTTGTCATTTGCTCAGGTGTGGATACAGTGCTGGATACAGGGCCGAGTTGGTGTTATCAAGCGGGTGCGCTTGTCATTTGGCAGGCGCGGATGGAGGTGTGCTTCTAATTTGACGAGGGCTTAAGAAGTACGCCTATTTCGGGGTGTTGTCCTTCGTGTGTGGTCGCATAATGCGAAAAGCCACGTACGGTGTCCAGCCCAGTGGCAGAAACAAGTTCAGAACAAAGTATGCCCGGCGCACGCAAAACATAACCTCCACAAAAGGCGGCCAAAGCTGTCGAAGCAGCCCTTGAGGCCGCTGAAGGGCTGGCCACACAGAGCCGGCGGGCAATTGGACGCCTCCTTTCGCCGCTTTCACCCCTCTCAGACAGTCAGCACATGTGTGTGTGTGTACATGATACGATATGCGATGATTTGCTGCACAAGATCCTCTTCTGATTTAGCTCGTCATCCAATCATGAAGCACAATTCTACGCCTTTGGCACCCATCAGGCACACACTTATTTGTTCAACCCAATCTGCATGCAGTGTCTCGCGCGCTATCCTAGGTCTTCAAGGTGCTGTGCAAGTGATCGCCTGGAAGGAGCCAAGTCCTTTGACCCAAGTAATGTCCAGATTGACCAAACTAGCAGGCCAAAACCCAACATTGCTCCGGCGAGCCACAGAGGTGATGGCTTGGCAACTGCAAGAATAAACAAGGCCCACTGTAGAGACGCGAGCACATCCAAGAGAAAGAAGACGATTGCACCCAAGACCGAGCCCAATGCCATCTGCCATGTCCGGCTTGACACTGCTGCTTCTGCACATTGGTTGGTTCGTAGCATCAATGGTGGCAGGATCATCATAAACAAGGGCGCCACAAGCAAGCTCCACACTGCGTTTGCAGCCATATACTGAGGGACGGACGTGTACCCCGAAGCCGTGGCGGATTTCATGCAATCACTTCGGCCGTCGCATCCAAAAACACTTACCAGGCCTGTAAACCACAAAGGAAAGCTCGAAAGCATGGACAGCTTGAGCGGAATCTCATGCTCCTTGCCCATCGCTGTGAGCACAGAATCCCTCAGCGGACCTCTCACATACGAATTGAAGCAATGTATGATTTCGTCCTTCGAAGGGTAACTGGTGATGTGCCGGATCTCGCGAATGGTTTCCGGCAGCAAGGCACCATCAGCACCGTCCGTCTCCAGCGTCGGAACTCCCGAACCGTCCAAATCATCAAATGCAACACGAATGGGAGGTTCTAGAGCCTCATCGAAAAGACATACGACTTGCTCCTCTGGGTTGTCCTTTAAGCCCTCTGAAAAGTGCTTTCTATGAAGGTTTTCCATAGGCTTCCATAAACCAACAAGAAAAAGCCCCAGGGGAGAAGAAAAAAAGGGAAACAAACAAAACAAAAACAACCACAAAAAACTCATGTCCTCGATCTCGCGGCGGTCCATCTCCAAGGCGCATTTGGCGTTCACGAAATCGAAATGGGCCATCTCATCCAGCAACAACTTGTGCCACTTCAGCTTCTTCAAGCAAAACCATGAATAGGGAATGGAAGCAAACAAGAATGCATATGGAGGGACAAAGTAATTCCTGATCAATGAAACCAGGAGTGAAACATGAGACTCCGCGTCCAGCACGAGAGACTGACCTCCGGAAAATAGACAGCACAGGCTAGCGGTGATGCCGAACCAAGACAAAGTCCACAAAGGCATCCACGGCGGTACAATCGTTATGGTTTCAGCACCTGCCGAAGTTTTGGCATGGACGGCCAACTCATAGTTGCACCAAAGTCTTTGGGAATACGTCTCATCCCACAAAATCAGCATCTCTCTTGATCTGGCCACGAAGGCCGGTATTGCCTTGGATCCAATAAAGCCAAGCAAGGGGAGAAAAACTGACAATCAGTGACAATCCTATGTTTGGCCTGCATTGCCTATTCGGAATTCCAGATTGAACCAAAACATCTACTGCTTCGGCTCCTAGTTGCTTGAAGCGTCTGACTTTTGACTTCAAAGTCTGCTTGGTCGACGCAAATGCGATCAAACCACAAGGATTTGCTGGCAAAGATGTGTCCAAAAAGGTAGACGAAAAGGAATACGGTCAGAGGGCAGAAAAGCAACAAGCCGAACAATACACCCGATGGCTGCAGTGCCACCTCACTGAAACTTCCTGCGCGCAGCACGAGCACGGCAACTGCCACGGTGCTCACAAGAGCGGATGAGGCAATGGCCGAGTTCATATTTAGATAGTGGCAAATAGCCAGGCCTTTCAGCCATGCTGGGCATGACCAGGAATGGCTTATGAATATGTCAACCTTTGAAACCGTGCTCAAAGAATCATAGGCCGCGTGGCTGTAGCTTGGATCCAAGCTTGGCAGACACGCTAACCGGAGGAGATCCGACGTCACGTCTGCAGCGGTTGCAGCTCTGAAGAGCCCTCGTTCTGTGGCAAACACAGCTTTATTCCAAACTGTTTGCATACTCCGCCACACAAGGACAAGGAAGGGAGGAACTTGAGCAAGAAAGTGTCCGCATGCATCTACCAAATGCATCTACGAAACATGTCCGTTCTCGGCAAGTCGGGGTTGGTTTCCCTACGTTGCTTTCCATGCCTACCCCACATTGCCCCATGCTGCTAAAAGCTAGGAAGGTTGCATGTTAGACCCAAAACCCCCGCAAAAACTCGTGAAATGTTGATGACCTTGCCATTTGAACATATGATTTTGATGTACCCTGTGGTTGTGCCAAGACTCTGTCACAAAAATACAGTACCGCAAAGAGCGTGGTTACATTCAAACATGAGTAAAGCAAATTGGCTCTTGCCAAGTTAGTGTGGGCAGGTCTTCGGGGTTCCATGATAACTTGCCACATCAGCTGTCCCCACCACACAGCAGGATTGCAGAATTGTTTTGGCGTGCCCGGGGGTTCAGGCGAGCGTCCTGTGCTGCTGCCCTTCGTGCAGTGGTCAGCTTTACTTCTTTTGCTGCCGCCCGCGCTTTTGCTCGCAGCTTCTTGACTTGCCCGGGGCCGATGCGCACAACTGGTACTCCGAAGCACCTGAGTGCAGCCGCCTGCGCTGAGTGGGTGGGGAGCTTGGCCCCGGAGCAACAGCCGCACAAGCCCTTTGGTGCCTGGAGGCGCCAACCCCTGAGCAACTGAGCAAGGATTTGGCGTTCTTGGTGGGGCAGTAAAAGGCGCGGGGGAAAAAACAAGTTGTCGACCCGTTTTGAAACACAGACCACGGAGCCTAGCGCATGTGGCGACAAGCCAGCGAGCATCATGCTGGGGGGCTGATCAGGAAAATTGCAAAACTGAGCACCCCCCCCCCGAGACAACCCTTCCGGCACGGCGAACAAGAACGGCGAACAGGCTCCACTGCGGCTGCGATCTGGTGATAGCGCGAGCAAGCTGGCGGATACAACATGAGCCTCAGCACTCCAGCAGCCCCCGCCCTCCACCCCGTTCGGGCGTTTGCGCCACAGCGGCCTGGAACTGCTCGCCGCCGGCTGCGGCGGGGCAGGTGTGGCCTCGCGTTCCGGCGCGGAGGGCCATGGCATCGACAGCTACCAAAGCGACAGCGCGGACGCCAATACCTGGATGTCGCACGCTCACTTCACTGCGCAGTTCCTTTCAGCGCGACAGCCCGGGCGCGTCACTGCTGGGGGACGACCTTGCCGCACCCCGGGAAGCCTTCGCTTTGCAATGCTGGTGCGTGAGGGGCAACGGGAGGCCAGGCGCCGACGCAAGGCGACGTGCATGTGCGCCGGGGGCAGCGCTGCAAGCAAGCCCCAGCACGCGGGCCAGACTGCAAACAGAGACAAGCGGTCGCTCAGGCAGAAGCTCGATCCCGCGAAAATGGGCGTTGAGCGCGCGAGACGCAAAAAGCTGCCAACCACGCGAGCTAATCGCCTGGTTCACTGTCAGCCGCTGCAGCGGGAGGGGCGACGGTGGAGGGATCACTTGCGCCTTCCGCCCATTTTGCTTAGAAGGAATCACTTACGCCCGCCCATGGTCATTTGCAGTGCTGTGGCGGGCGTAGGCGGGGAGAGGGCGGAATAGCGGCTGCGCCACTTCACCGTGGCGTCCGGCGCCACTGGCCCGAGCGTCCGTCCTGGCAGGTCGGGGGTTTGTCAGGTTGGGGTCGCATTGTGCCCGTCGGATTGGGGTCGCTTGCGCCCGTCTCTTGTTGAATCTGTGCGGCGCACTGTGTCTCCCTGACAAAATAACAAACCCACATTGCTTCCACGGACGTGGCTCTAAAGATGGACAGCCAAACCCAGAAACTCGGCTTGAGGTGTGGCGTGGCGACAAGCCGTAGCCGAGCGTGGGTTTGTTGCACTTGGCACGCCCATCCGCGCCCCGGAGTTCGTGGCCGCGTGCGCGACGGAGCGCCTTGAGCAGGAGCAGGGCTTGCTGGCGGAGCTGCCGCAGCTGCCTGACTTGCAGTGTGCTTGGCTGCTGCTCCTCTTCTGCGCCGCGCCTGGGGCGCAACACTTGCTCCGCACCGTGGCTCCTCGGCGAGCGCGGCGCCGCTTGGCCGGAAACCCACCGCGCTTTTCTTCCAGCATGCGAGGGCGGCCTTGGCCTCTTGTGTGCCACACGCGCAGCGCCGCCTACTGGGTTGTGCCGGTCATGTCCCAGCGTCGTCCTGATGCGGTGGAGCGATGCGTGCAAAAGCTCCTTGTGGGGAGGGGAGGGAGGGAAGGGGGAGGGGAGGTGGGGTAATAACGTGCACCGCCCAAGGAGTTTGGTCTGTGCTGTGCTGCGCTCCGCTGAGAAGCTTCTCCAACCGAAAATGCCGGGGGGCCGCAGGCAGCGGCAATCGCAGTGCGAAATACGGCATCTGTGAGCCGGAACCCTGAACGGGATGGTGGTGAAAGCAACGCTGCCTCCTTTCCCAGCTTGCGACCACATCAAGGCCAAGTTCTTTCGACTGTACTGCGCGTCGCCCAAGTCCAACTATGCTCTCCGGGCCACAGCGCAGAATTTGCCCTTGCCCATGACGATGCGGCGTGCCAGTGTCTAAGCCTCATTACTGTTCGGTGCCGACTCTGGCCCACTTCCTGACCAGGCCGCTGCGCATGGCGGGCTAGGACTGCGCCCCGCCGAGGCGCATCCCCTGCTCTGGGCTTCCCTCTTGCGGGGGGAGACCGAGCCCGCCGGAGGCCATGCCCGGCCGGCCGTTGCGGCTGCGCGCGCTGCCGCCGCTGCCCTGCAGGACGCCGGACTGGCTCGCCCTTGCAGATGGGTCGGCGCTCGAAGAGCACCCACGCGAGTGGGGCGACATGGCCGGGGAATGGCAGCGTGCAGCCTGCAGTCATCGGCCACAGGGCCCTTGAGACCGAGCGGACGTTCCGGAGAAACCTTGCTTTGTGGGCTCAGCTGGCTGCGCCCGCAGGAGTGCTCAGGCACTGGGACTTGTTGCTCCTGGGGCCGGCACGCTGGGTCCGTGGCGCGGCGGTGAGCAACGCAAGGGCGCGCTCGGCTCAGCGGAGCGTTTCATCATCTGTGCCTGCCTCGCGTCGGGTCTGGTTTCTGCCAGGCCTGGTCCTGGTGGCGGGTGCGGCTTGCGCTGCTGCGGTCGACTCCGCCCGGGATACCAAGTCATAAGCGCAACGCCCGTCAAAAGACACGACGGTGGCTGTGGTGGCGGCGCGAAGCCGTGGCGCGCGCAAACCGCCGGGCGAGGGTGCGGGCGACCAGGTGTCGCCAGTGGCGATGCCCCTCACTCCACCACTGGGTTTTCGCAACGCCATGGCTCTGGGACATCCGCGTTGGCTAGCTTTGTTGCCGCCTCGGCGAACACTAGCGTCCTCATGGGCCAGCAAGATCTTGTAGTGGCCACCGTGGCGCCAGGCAGCCGGAAGGCACACGGAAAAACACAACCAAAGGCACCCCGCCGCCTTGACGCGGCTGCTGAACGCAACGCGGCCAAAAAACCACCGAGTCTTGGATCTTTTTGCCATTACCCTTTTTCGCCCCGCTACAGCGGCGGCATCAAGCCGGATAGCGGCCGCCGGCAGACACACCGAAAACGGGTGGCAAGGGGTGGCAAGCGACAAAGTATCCATCCGGAGCCGACAGGTGTTTCAGCGCGGCCGCCTTTGGGGCTGACCTTGCACCCGCACGGAAGTGCAAACGGCGGGCCCGGCTAGGAGCAACAGCACGCCGAACCGGCTGTGACTGGGCGACAGCGGCCTGGAAAAGGGAGGCGGCAAAACGGGCAAGCAATCAGCCCACGAAACCCTATAGGCCGAGGCTGCTGTGCGCTTCGCTGAATGCGGCCCTAAGCCCCCTAGGATAATCGCAACTTCGAAACGGCACAAGTTTGGTCTGGAATGCCGTTGCTGCCCAACAAGGCTGCTCAGGCGGTCATAATGGTTCTGTCGTGCTCGCCAGCATACGTGTCGGGGGCAACCTGAGCAACACTCAAATTCCGGCAGGCGCTGCCAAAGCGCATCGTGGCCCATCCGGGATTGCAGGAGTAGTCCGGCCCTCGGGCCGACGCCTGCCTGCTGCGTTCCACGCACGTGTTTCGCCTTGGCTGAGCTGGGTTGGCAAAACGCGGACGACTCGCCGCGCCCGTGCGCTGACCGGGGTAGGCTATCAGCCTTGGGAATCGTTCGCCCCAATCAACTTGAATACCACTAAACAAATTTAAGGCCTCAATCGGGCTGCCATGGCAAGCGCTGCGCAGTCGAAACACAAGTCACGTGCTCCCGGCCTGTCAGCGACGTGGGCCACGTGGCGGACGTCGCGGACGTAGCAGGAAGCCGCGGGCGGCACAGGGGGAGGGGAACGCGCGGGCAGAGCATGGCAACCAACGGTGGTGGACCGCCGCTCTGGGGAAGACACCACGGATTCCAGATCGCTTGTTAGGGGCAGGGGCGCGAAAACCCGGGCGCGAGCCAAGACTGTTGAGGACTAGTGATGGGGCCGTCCCCGGGGCAGCGGAGCTTTGATGACAGGGACAGTCCTTTCGCAGGGACAGTCCTTTCGGGCCTCAATTTTGTTGCGTTTTCTGTTCTAAAAGGCTATTCCCTTGCGACACAGATGTAAGATTTACGCAGGGGTGGAAGCCCCTACGACGTTGCACAAGTGCCCCATGATCAGGCGACAACGCAAGGAGTGACATGGTCCAACAGGTGCCATGGCCGTTGCAGCGCGCAAGCGCTCAGGAGCCTCTCGCACTCAGGAGCCTCTCGCGCTCTGACGCGCGCAGCGCCGCAGGACTGCGCACAAACAATGCAGCCTCCTCGCTGCGCCGGCCCCTGTCTCGTCTTGCAAAACGTTTGGAAGGAATGCCAAAGAACCACCAAAGGAAAAGGTTCGCATGCGAGGCAGAAAGCTGCAACGCAGCCGGCCCGGGCGCAGACGATCGGCGACTCCAGCAATTCGTAACCTTAACGCCTGACGCACCGGGGGCACTCCCGCGACAACGCCTGCGCGTTGAAAAGGTCATGGGCGCGGGGCAAGGGCGGAGGTCGGTCGTTCCCGGTTGCGTTTCTATTGCGCCTG